CATGACCCCAATAACCCCCCCTTGGATCCCCCCTTGCATGCGGCACCTCAATCCGGGCAAAACCCCTACCAATCAGACCTTTTACTCACTTTCAAACTGGCAGTACTGGGAGAAAGTTTCCCATCCATGCTCTTGGTGTCTGTCCAGTTCCAGTCCGATATTGACCTGGAGGCCATCGACTGCGGCCTTGAGGTTTCCGCACTGTCTAAATTATCAGCGGCATTTCAAGGCAAAGGAGGCAACACCAATTTGCAAACTCCTCACCTGCTTCGGCTCTGTCGCTGCTGAAGTCCTCCCAAGAGCGCGGCTCAGCAGCCAAGTTCATCGATCCCATGTAGTTCCTCAAGGGCTCCAGCTCCTTGGCCAGTTGCAGGTCGTTGCTATTGGAAAAAACCCCATCTGCCCTCACAGAGAAACAGCCAAATAAATGCCTCGAAACTTACATGTGAACGTTGTTGGTCCCTGTGGACTGATCCAGTTGCTCGGGAGCATCTGGAAGCAAAAAACAGCCTTAATCAAAGCGGGAATGCAGCAGCCTTTTGGTTGACAGTGAACCTTTGAAGCCAACTCGTTTCCTGCTTTGGGCCATTTTCCGGCAAAGATCTAGCAAACCGGAAGGAGCGAACAAAACTGACCGGCTGCCCCAATCCAGAATGCTGGTCAAGCCCGTGGGAACTTCCACATGCACCTACTCTGAATTATTGAGTCCATGCCGATGGATCAATGGGGGGACAAAAGACAGTTTTTGGGCGATTATTTATTCAGCTTGGCGCCGGCCTTCGATGTACCGACTAACTGAATGAATCAGCCTCAAAGGTCAAAGTTCCCTCCTCCGGCCCAGGCCGACTTACCATGCGTGCTCTCCGTGCAGGAGTTCCTCCTCATTCGGCCCCAGGTGTACACCTGCCTCTCCTCATCCGAGCTGCTGTCCTCCTCCCGACGCCTCCTGGACACCCGCACACTCCTCGAGCGCTTGAAGCGGGATTCGTCGGGCAGAATATACTTGGGCAGGCCCTTGAAGAACCACGCCCCCGACTTCTTCCAAATCTCCCGTGTTTCTGCGCAGATCATGCACAGCTGGTGGTCCTTCGAAGCGCTGCAACCCACCAAACAGTGCAATTTTCCAAGAGAAACTCTGGATGAAAAAAGCCCACCCAGGCGATTTATGGGCGCACTGATCGATGGCGCACTGTTGGCACGCCCACCGTTTGCAGTCGACACAGCGCACCTTTTGGGGCCCCAACATGCCGAAAGTGTCGCCGCATAGCAGGCACTGGTTGGCTCCTCTTCCTAAGGCACTTCTTCGCATGTTCTCCAAGCGATCCACCAGCTTCCCCACCTGCAAACAGCAGCCCAGTTAGTCTGGATGGGGCTGGTTGGTGTCAGCCTTGCCCCACCCGCTCCTGCTCGGTGAGATCCAGCTTTTCGGCTCTCTGGATCACTTCGACGATGGTCTGCTGCTCCTCCTCGCCCAAGGGGGGATTGGCGGG